CTACTGGTTAAACCAAATGAAACTATTTAATGTTTCCATAATCAACTCGTAACAATTTATATAATTATATCATATGAAATGAATCACTAACTGTATACAACAAAAGTTGAGATTTACTTCATTGTATTCGGCTCTCAACAAATTCCAATCCTCCACAACAGGTGAGAAAATTCCTTGAAAAATGTCAATAATACAGGTATATTTTCCTCCTGCTGGGATGTTTTCTCTGAGCCACGTCCTCTTACGACGGCTGGTCGCAACGGTTCTAAGCCTAAACAATAAAACTAACAATTGTGAAAGTGAATTTTATGTTATTTGTCAACATAACCCTCCTGATTTTCAATAGTCTTCTTATGTCGATAGTGAAGCTTTTTAATTCCAGTCAGGAAGAAGTTTTCTGAGGCCGCCTAAAAACCCATTCATGGCAGCTTTCGGGTCATCGTTGTGGTCATAGCGCTTTTCAAGAAGGTGTTCTTTCAGTTTAAGAAACAGACTTTCTAAGTAATCAACAAGGATCACACCCTTTGCATCACAGAATACAGTGGCCATAACTTTCTTCACTGATCTTGAAGACTTGAATTTCTTTGATGCCGGAGAAGTCAAATGGTGCCATTAAGATCCGAATTTCGAAACTATGGCACCAAACGAGCAGATATTTTATCCATCAGTTACGCCTGGATACGTGATTGTCCCCTTAATAAGTCATGTGTTTTGTTCCTCTCCAACCTTTGACAAATTACCACGAACGGTCAAAGGGACGTAACTCCACGATAAAGTTGTGTTTGTTGAAGATTTATAACCTTTCAGTTTGTTTTCATTCCTGTTTTCAAACAAACCACCACTTTGTAATCATATTGATTAGACAGCGATCACTTATATCTGTTGATTAGAACAAGTGAGTGAAGCACACGTTTCATTTACAAAAGAATAGGAAACAATTGTATTTGCTCATTTTTATTATTTACTTTAGACCGAAATTGGTACAATGTGTGAAGCCCATTACTGGTGTCCACCGCCGTCATTTTGGAATATTGCTAAAAGCGGCGTAGAACCATACTCACTCACTCACTCACTCACTCGCTATTTACTGAAGAAGAATCATTCACAGGAAAATGCCAACCAAACAGACATATGAGGTCATGCCGAAAAGGACATCATGTCCGCGGTTTCTTCCGACCAGTTTCTAATTCTGATATAAAATATATTCATTCCGTTCAGCGCTTTTTCAGACGCTTGTATTTGGTTCCTGATAGTGATCGGTTAATTTCGAAGACTTTCTTAGAGAGAAAAATGGCAATGCAGATGATGTTCTGTTTTATCTGGCTCTGTTCATTCTTTCCAACATTCATAAAACCAAAGATGCTATTTCAGATCACATTGCGATAGGCCTGGGTCATTTTATCTTGTCATCCAATAACAGGGCGGCTGTCAATTATTGGTTGAGAGTATTTAACTTTCTATAATTTTGTCACATTCAGAGTCTCATTGATTTTGTTTTGTACCAAATACATACTGGTATTCATAAATTAATATGTATTAAAACAACCACACGGATTGTGGGTAAGAATGTCGTTCTGCGGCAAACTTTGATTGTCGTAAGAGAAGAGTAGTCGGTTCAGGTGGTCAGGCTAGGTGACTTGGTTGATATACGTCACCGTATCCCAATGGCGAGGATCGATGTTCATGATATCAATCACTGGATTGTCTGGTCCAGACTCGAATATTTACAGACCGCCGTCTTATAGCTGGACTATTGCTGAGTGCGGCGTTAAACAACAAACAAAGAAACTTTCTTACATTAGACAAGGACTCCTTCTAGTACGACATGGGTCGGTGGGGTAGCCTGGTTATAAAGCGTTCGCTCGTCACGCAGAAGCCCCGGGTTGCCTTTCCCTACATGAGTTCAATGTGTTAAGCACATTTTTTATGCTAAATACGGCGTAAAGCTACACTCAAAATTATGTTACTATGGCTTCCCCCTTTGTAGGTGGTTCGCCATATACAAAAAACAGGCTACGAAAGTACTGTAGGTAAAGTGATAACACAATCCTACTTCATTAATATTCAAAACAGAAACCGCCGCCAGAACTTATCGCAGTGCAGTCAAACACACCCAAAAGCCTATTTGTAAATATTAACTTACTCAGGGGGAGTAACTCGTACTATCCTATGCCATCCAGTAAGACATGACCACAGACAATGCACTGCGAGATCGAAACCGGTTGATGTGTTATGTGTCGCTGTTACCTTTTGTTAGATATTTGCAAGAATAAACCATCTGAGATACCATATGTGATAAGTTCACCTTGGATGCTTTTGTTTACCGCTTTTGTGTTTTGGTGGATAGATCGTATACCCAGAGTGCGGAATTCGGTGGTTAGATAACGGGCCACGGTATACCAAAAGACGAAACCATGGTACTCTTTACCCTGCTGGCGCTTGGAGTCAGTATATTGTTATCTGCGTGCAGTATCCATGTTAAACTGCGTCATGGTATGTCAGGGGGCTAGCACTATAAACCCGACATTAGTGCTGACAAGTACAAGCACAAGTTTCAACAGTCAAGCGTGGTGACCCACTTAGCTTCCTCCTTTGTACTTTTTATAATTCAGGCAATGCGTGCAATACCGTAGCTACTACGTAACACAAAAGGCAAGTGCAACACACAAAGTCTCGGTGAGGCTTTCGGGGGGTTTGTGGTGGGCCAGTGTGGGGAAGGCGGAGGTGTTTCCGGGTTTGGCGGGTCTGTGGCCGGAGTGATTGGCGGTGTGGTTACCTGTTTCTGCTTGTGCTGTGTGTTCATGTGTTATTTAGTGTAGACGGTTGGCTTCCCTTTGCCTTTGAGTGTGTTTGTGGCGGTTGCCACCAGTGGGGCAGGCTCAATCTCATGAAAATCATATCTTAGTTCTCGATACCGCTAAATAAAGATCTGAGGACATCCCATTGCGGGTCATGTCAGAACGACCTTTCATCTGAGCATCGCTTATCAGATCATGAAAGTTTACAGTTGGAATGTGATTTTTGATCGTATAACCTCGAAAAGAACACACACAGGGTATTCCGAACGACAGTTATGGCTTTATGTCTGTATTCACACAATAAAGACCATCTATTAGCCATTCCAGAATGTTCTTTTGTTCAGACTTTAAGTTTTTAATCGAGTGTATATCAAAATATGTTTCGAAGCGTAGTCGCCAGTTTGAAACTCGTGCCGAAAAGCTCGATTAAGCTGCCTTCTGATTGGCTATTGTCGACTATTGTTAGTCATTCCATTGATCGGTCAAAGTTCGTGAAAGGTCGTTCTGACGTGACCTGTAGTGGGATGTCCTCAGATCTTTGTTCAGCGGTAGCGAGAACTAAGATCTGATTTTAATGAGATTGGGGGCAGGATATACTCAACTTTTCGCGAAGACCTGGTATCATCAGTATTTGATAGTGATTCATAAACACATAATATACAGTAAACTACCTTTTTAACGAACACGCTTATGACGAACTGACCGATATAACGAACCTATATTTAGTCCTGGCCATTTGTTGTATATATGCTGTATATATGCTTATAACGAACTGCGGTTATTACGAACGAAAATTCGTGGTCCCTTTGAGTCCGTTATAACCGTAGTTTACTGTAGTCGGATTTGTACAATGGGCTGCCTTTAGCAGAAATTTCTTAAGATTAAGGAAAGGATTTTGTCGCTTCCATTTACAATTTTAAATCGTTACAAATATAAATCAACTAAATAAAATAAAAACATATATAAATGTGCTCTTGGGTGCCCTTATTTCAGTCGTCTGTTATAGATACCAGTATGATCTTTGGTTGACTAACAGTTTGACCGGATGCTGGTGGGAAAATTTGTTAATGAATTGTTCTATATTGTTTGTTTGTTGCATTAGTTTTGAGGATATTTGGGTCGGATCACAATGATCAAACTGTTCTACACTTACAATGAATTATGCCCAGGACAAGTGAGGGATGGCTTTGTGGTGTATAGCGTGTTTAACAAAAACTGCACTGTAACAGGTTTGCTTACATTTTAATTTTGCCTAGCTAAACCCGTGGAGTGCTTTGTAAATATAGTTACCATTACTTGATTTAAACTTTTGTTTAGTTTCACTTCACAATTATTATAAATTTGTTTTTGAAAAAAGTATGTTTATAGGAGAATAAGTCGTTCTATTAATCATTTCAGTTTTAGACAAAATCATTTTATCTTCATCCAGTGAAATAGATCTAACAAAATCTAATCAAAATCCACATTTTCAAGTATATCGCCTGTTGCGAACTTTAAACTACAGACAAAATTGATCCCTAAAGACACATTGATTGACTGTGGCCGCGTCATACCAAAAGGCGATTAAAAGTGGTACTTGTTGTTACCCTGCTAGGCGCTCGGCATTAAGGGTATAAAGTAAGGGTTTACATGCTTCTCAAGTTGGAAAGTAAGTTATAACTTATGGGAGACTTTGAACATGAAGTTAAGCATAAATAAGAGGTGGAACAACGGTAACGGCTAAGGTCTGATATCGGTACTCCGCTTGTCTCGACTACGAAATATGTCGTCATATATTCGATGGTCCGCCGGAAGTGCGCGAGGTTTCATTGTATTTATTTTTGTTTATCACTCGACGAGATAAATTATCCACTATAGATTGTACCCATTTGCAGGTCAAAGTAAATATAGTGTGTACAATGAGACGAGGAAGCTGTATCACACATGCATGCCTCAGTGAACGTGTGAATGTTTACATTATTAATGCATAACAAGAGATTGCGTCTGCGTTCAAATACATTATCGATCGCGACTCCCTTTCCAAACAATATCGATCTTTCAAGTATTTATCGATCTGTGTACAAAAGCATGTGTACAAACGGAACTGTTTTTCGTATGAGGAAAAACGACAGCAGGTACATTCAGTTTTATGTTTACAGCCTGGGTGTGACTATTCGGAACATGTCGGAACTTGTAAGTAGTAAATATATATGTAACCTAGATTACCTTGAACATTTGCCAAGTCGTACATGTATTAAGTCGCGAAACTCGTGTGACTTGTGTCGTGTGTCGTGTGAGCAGACCTTTCCTGTGGAATAGATGTTTTCTGGATTCTTCTTCTGGATATATACCTACGGATACAGTATATTGACTTTCCCTTGTGAGTTTAATGCTTAAATATGGTAAAGTGGTAGACTAGAAACAATATCTTCTGAACTTGTGGCGTGGATGTATATATAATTTGTTATTTCAAACCCTTTTTAGCTGGACTGGGCAGTGAAAATGGGATGTGTATATATGATCTTTTGCTTGATTTGGCTGTTCAGTGTAATTCACCGAGATCATTATCAATATGTTTTACCAGCCATACAACTGCGTAATACGTCACGATCCTTTCGCGAAATAGACTACGCCTTTTATCATGTTGTAACTTGCATGGTAATTTGTATAGAGTTCATATGTATAAATTTACACACAAGTATCCCGCCATGGCATTCCAGGACAAAGACAATTTTAAACATTTACACGTCACGTTGTATATGGACGGACCATGTAATATTCGGGGCGGGGCGGGAGGGGGGTTGGGTGTGTGTGTGTGTGTGATATATTTTGTGGACCAATATCACATTTCATTCAGGGCATATAGTGAGTATTCATAGTGTCTTCGTTCAAGATCCTTGTAAGGTAAAGGCTAGAAACGCTTCCCTTATACCCAGTAGGCCATCACCACGATGCTGACGTTTCCGCAAACTATTCCGGAATATTGTGTATATATCTTTCTTTGGAACGACAAGTTCTAGTTATGATTTCTTTTGGATCTACACATTACATGTAAATGAAAGCGATACAACCCTTTCCATATTCATAAGAGATATCTGCAAAAAGAAATCTCTGCAAAAGGTGAGTAAGTACATATGTTTAATGTTTGCATTTGTGGTTGTTCTTTTTTTGTTTCGATATTCCTTCTGTAGTTATTGCTTGAACTGCTGTTCATGTCGCCAAGTTGATATTAGAGACATCCAGTGATTTATTTCAAGCACGCAATAATTAGATGTAAGTTACTAATATGGCTGCACATAGTTTACATCCCAACACTTCCGTCACTTTCCAACACACATGCGTCGTCTGAAACGCCACTTCCGTTTCCCGCCAATACTACCATTTTGCGATACTATATACTATATGCTTACCGTATATAAACTTATTAAGAGCAAAACAAAACACACAGATTGCAATCAAATGATCAGTACGTGTATTTTGTTCCACGAGACGGTGTTTTGTCGAACCTACGCTCGTGTGAATCAGAAAGCATGTGAATCAGAATCAGAAAACGGCTGTAACCCATGTAATGTATAACATCAACACTTGAAATAACCAGATTCCGATGTGCTTAAAAGGTAAAATAGCGTGAAAATTATGAATTCAATTTTGAAAATTCACTTACCTCGCCCCAGATGATGGGCTCTGGCATGTTATTGATATCAGGCTCCAGTAGACCGAACCCTGTGTTGCTGCGAGTGACTTCGAGTGATGAGTGCACGAATGCTATTGGTCAGTTTCAAACAATTTAGAAAAAAATAATTGATATTGTTCTTTATTTCATTTTTTAGGTTTCTTACAGTTTTTGTAACCCTCTTAATGTAAAATATCTGTCACCAAAAAAGGATGAAAAAGATGGAACTATTTTCGGAAAGCGAGTGGACTTGAATGTATGCGTATGGATATGATCCCAAATGATTTTTTCCATGTTTTGTTATTTAAGTTTGTCATCAAAACGACACACATTTCCGATTTCGTTCTGGAATTCAACACATGTTACATGACCTTTTTGTCACATTAACGATACCAGTACCGGGGTTATATATAAAGATAAACATGTTTTTTTGTAACCATTTCTGTGACATTCCATATATGTTTTTATTTCATAATTATAATATCAAGATGAAACATTCATGCATCTTATTCTCTTGTTCATATTTTCAACATTGGATTCAGATAAACACTGCACTCGATAGGTGGCTTTATTTGTTCTGACGAGGATATATAGTACCAAATGAGTGAGTTTCCTTTTTATTGTACTTTCTTGTGAAACTTCTCTTTCATCCTATGCAGGACTAAACTAATGCCATCATAATATCAACCAGTTCGTTGTGTGTGAAAATAATCAAAATAGATATTTAACCTCATTGTACAGTAACCACTTGTACGTCAGACAAATTGAATTTACATTATTGCTTTTTATTTGTTTTTTAAACCGTTACATGGAACTTAGGAGCAGCAGCATTATTTATCATTGATTATTAAACTATATAAAGTCCAGCACAGATGGTTCATGTGAAACATTGCGATTAAATTAAAGTAAGCTTAACATTCTTTTTGGTGTCCTTAACTTTTTATCACCAGGTAACAACTGACCTTTTGAATGCTCGTACCCTCAATAACAATATGTTTCATTGCCATTTGAGATGACAGCTGAGACCCGAATGAATCGTAAAATTGCGATCAAAATTGACTGTTGTTTTTTGTCATGTCTTGAAATCACTGCATGCAATCAGCAAAGGTCACTGGTGATTGCCTTTACATCTTATATGAAGAAAGAGCATGGATTTGTTTTTCATTCTATTGTCATGTCACATTTCAACACAGCGTATTTCTTTGTATATCATTATCATGGATGATTTCAAATACTCCATGTCCCTGCATATGTATTTACCTATTTCTTCGAAGGGGTAAAAGAGGATTACTATCCTTATAGTCTGAAGAGGAGAGTCTTAATATCTTGACAGTTTGAAGATGGCCTTCTTGTCTGAATAGTTCTGAATAGGTTTTCTTGTCCATAAAGTTTCTGATGCATCAGAAACAAATCAAGACAAGTTACCCTTTATACCACCAGGAGACTATACTGACCCATTTTCGCGCTACAAGCATGAGGTCTTTTTAGTCTTAGGAGTATAATGGAGGATTTTTGCATATAAAGAGTGAGGGGGTCTTATTCCTGCACAGTCTCTTGGTATGGAGACGGGGCCTTCTATCTGCACAGTATCCCTATAGGGTATTCGTCTTTACAGATGCCTTGTAGGGTAAAGGGGTCAGCCATGTTCTCCCTGTTGTATGTCTTATCAAGTACCCTGCTTGTCTTTATGTCTTTATCACTTGTTTGCCAGGTTCCCTACTGGTCTGAAGGTACATCCCCTGCTGCTGTGAAGGGAAACTCTTAAATGGTAGCAATCTCCTGGTACAGGTTTGTAGTGTGAAAAGGGCATCCTGACTGTAACGATTTGATAGGGTGAAGGGGGGGTCCCTAATGACATAATCACTCACTATGGTGCGAGAGTCATCTATCTGTACAGACACCTGACCGTAGAGCCCCTGGTAGTGTGAAAAGGGTATCCTGGCACAGTTTCTTTTGTACAGTATAATCACCTAGAAGGATGACGATCACTTAATAATTTCTTTCAGTCTCTATATTATAGGTGTACTTAAATCAAATACATAAAATCATGTCTTGAGACCTTTCAGCCATGTTCTCACTGTTATATATCTGCTCTTCAAGTCCCTTGCTAGTCTATTTGGCAAACTGCCTGATAAGTGTTTCTTTTTCATATGTTTACCAGGTCCCCTGCTGGTGTGAAGTGAAACAGCCCTGCTGCTGTGAAGAGAAATCTGCTACTTGTGTGAAGGTAAACCTCCTGCTGCTGTGAAGGGAAACTCCCCTATGTTTACATGCTCCTGGTACATGCTAGAAGTGTGAAAAGGGTATCCTGTGTGTACGGTCTCCTGGTAGGATGAAGGGATTCCCTGTTTGCTGGATTATTCTGCCTAAACCGTCTCCAAGGAGGATGAAGGGGTTTTCTACATGAACAGTCTGCAAGGTAGGTGGTGGGGTCTTCTGCCGGAACGGTCTCCAGGTAGGGTGAAGCGGTTTTCTAAATGAACAGTCTCCAGGTAGGGAGAGGGGGTCTTCTGCCGGAACAGTCTCCAGGTAAGGTTAAGGGGTTTTCTACATGAACAGTCTCCAGGTAGGGTGAAGGGGTTTTCTACATGAACAGTCTGCATGGTAGGTGAGGGGGTCTTCTGCCGGAAAGGTCTCCAGGTAGGGAGAAGGGGTTTTCTACATGAACAGGCTCCAGGTAGGTGAGGGGGACTTCTGCCTGTATAGTCACCTTGTAGGATGAAGGTATCTTCTATCTGTATAATCCCCTGGTGGGGTGAATAGATGAAAAGCATGTACAGTGTACATTCTTCTGTTTGGGTTAAGGGATCTTCTGCCTAAACAGTCTTCAGGTAGGGTGAAGGGGTTTTCTACATGAACAGTCTCCAGGTAGGGTGAAGGGGTCTTCTGCCTGAACAGTCTCCAGGTAGGGTGAAGGGGTCTTCTGCCTGAACAGTCTCCAGGTAGGGTGAAGGGGTCTTCTGCCTGAACAGTCTCCAGGTAGGGTGGAGGGGTTTTCTACATGAACAGTCTGCAAGGTAGGTGAGGGGGTCTCCTGCCGGAACAGTCTCCAGGTAGGGAGAAGGGGTTTTCTACATGAACAGTCTGCAAGGTGGGTTAAGGGCTCTCATGCCGGAACAGTCTCCAGGTAGGGTGCATGGGTTTTCTACATGAACAGTCTCCAGGTAGGGTGAAGGGGTTTTCTACATGAACGGTCTCCAGGTAGGGTGAAGGGGTTTTCTACATGAACAGTCTCCAGGTAGGGTGAAGGGGTTTTCTACTTGAACAGTCTCCAGGTAGGGTGAGGGAGTCTTCTGCCGGAACAGTCTACAGGGAGGGTGAAGGGGTTTTCACAATTAACAGTCTCCAGGTAGGTGCGGGGGTCTTCTGCCTGTATAGTCACCTTGTAGGATGAAGGTATCTTGTATCTGTATAATCCCCTGGTTGGGTGAATAGATGATAAGCATGTACAGTGTACATTCTTCTGTTTGGGTTAAGGGATCATCTGCCTAAACAGTCTCCAGGTAGGGTGAAGGGGTTTTCTACATGAACAGTCTCCAGGTAGGGTGAAGGGGTTTTCTACATGAACAGTCTGCAAGGTAGGTGAGGGGGTCTCCTGTCGGAACAGTCTCCAGGTAGGGTCAGGGGGTCTTCTGCCTGAACAGTCTACAGGGAGGGAAGGGGTTTTCTACATTAACAGTCTCAAGGTAGGGTGAGGGGGTTCTCTGCCTAAACAGTCTCCGGGTAGGGAGAAGGGGTTTTCTACATGAACAGTCTGCAAGGTAGGTGATGGGGTCTCCTGCCGGAACAGTATCCAGGTAGGGTGAAGGTGTTTTCTACATGAACAGTCTCCAGGTAGGGTGAAGGGGTTTTCTACATGAACAGTCTCCAGGTAGGTTGAGGGAGTCTTCTGCCGGAACAGTCTACAGGGAGGGTGAAGGGGTCTTCTGCCTGAACAGTCTCCAGGTAGGGAGAAGGGGTTTTCTACATGAACAGTCTCCAGGTAGGGTGAAGGGGTTTTCTACATGAACAGTCTGCAAGGTAGGTGAGGGGATCTTCTGCCTGAACAGTCTCCAGGTAGGGTGGAGGGTTTTTCTATATAAACAGCCTGCAAGGTGGGTGAGGGGCTCTCATGCCGGAACAGTCTCCAGGTAGGGTGAGGGGGTCTCCTGCCGGAACAGTCTTCAAGTAGGTAAAGGGGTTTTCTACATGAACAGTCTCCAGGTAGGGTGAAGGGGTTTTCTACATGAACAGTCTTCAGGTAGGGAGAAGGGGTTTTCTACATGAACGGTCTCCAGGTAGGGTGAAGGTGTTTTCTACATTAACAGTCTCCAGGTAGGGTGAAGGGGTTTTCTACATGAACAGTCTTCAGGTAGGGAGAAGGGGTTTTCTACATGAACAGTCTTCAGGTAGGGAGAAGGGGTTTTCTACATGAACAGTCTCCAGGTAGGGTGAAGGGGTTTTCTACATGAACAGTCTCCAGGTAGGGTGAAGGGGTTTTCTACATGAACGGTCTCCAGGTAGGGTGAAGGTGTTTTCTACATGAACAGTCTCCAGGTAGGGTGAAGGGGTTTTCTACATGAACAGTCTTCAGGTAGGGAGAAGGGGTTTTCTACATGAACAGTCTTCAGGTAGGGAGAAGGGGTTTTCTACATGAACAGTCTCCAGGTAGGTTGAAGGGGTTTTCTACATGAACAGTCTTCAGGTAGGGAGAAGGGGTTTTCTACATGAACAGTCTCCAGGTAGGGAGAAGGGGTTTTCTACATGAACAGTCTCCAGGTAGGGTGGAGGGGTTTTCTACATGAACAGTCTGCAAGGTGGGTGAGGGGGTCTCCTGCCGGAACAGTCTCCAGGTAGGGAGAAGGGGTTTTCTACATGAACAGTCTCCAGGTAGGGGGAAGGGGTTTTCTACATGAACAGTCTCCAGGTAGGGAGAAGGGGTTTTCTACATGAACAGTCTCCAGGTAGGTGAGGGGGTCTCCTGCCGGAACAGTCTCCAGGTAGGGAGAAGGGGTTTTCTACATGAACAGGCTCCAGGTAGGTGAGGGGGTCTTCTGCCTGTATAGTCACCTTGTAGGATGAAGGTATCTTCTATCTGTATATCCCCTGGTGGGGTGAATAGATGATAAGCATGTACAGTGTACATTCTTCTGTTTGGGTGAAGGGATCTTCTGCCTAAACAGTCTCCAGGTAGGGTGAAGGGTTTTTCTACATGAACAGTCTGCAAGGTAGGTGAGGGGGTCTTCTGCCTGAACAGTCTCCAGGTAGGGTGAAGGGGTTTTCTACATGAACAGTCTCAAGGTAGGGTGAAGGGGTTTTCTACATTAACAGTCTTCTGTTTGGGAGAAGGGATCTTCTGCCTGAACAGTCTCCAGGTAGGGTGAAGGGGTTTTCTACATGAACAGTCTGCAAGGTAGGATGAGGGGGTCTTCTGCCTGAACAGTCTCCAGGTAGGGTGAAGGGGTTTTCTACATGAACAGTCTGCAAGGTAGGATGAGGGGGTCTTCTGCCTGAACAGTCTCCAGGTAGGGTGAAGGGGTTTTCTACATGAACAGGCTCCAGGTAGGTCAGGGGGTCTTCTGCCTGTATAGTCACCTTGTAGGATGAAGGTATCTTCTATCTGTATAATCCCCTGGTAGGATAAATGGATGTTCAGTTTGTACAGACTCCTGTTAGGGTGAAGGGATCTTCTGCCTGAACAGTCTCCAGGTAGGGTGAAGGGGTCTTCTGCCGGAACAGTCTTCTGCTAGGGTGAGGATGGGGAGGGGGCTTCTGTCTGTATAATCACCTGGCAGGATGAAGCGGCATAATCTCTTGGTCGGGTGAGAAGGTTCCTGTCTATATTATCACCTATTTCAGCCATGTTCTCCCAGTTAGATGTCTGCTCTTCAAGTCCCCTGCTAATCTAGTTGACAAACTGCCTGATAAGTGTTTCTTTATCATATATTTACCAGGTCCCCTGCTGGTGTGAAGTTAAACATCCTGCTGCTGTGAAGGGAAACTCGCCTATGTTTACATGCTCCTGGTACATGCTATTAGTGTGAAAAAGGTATCTTGTGTGTACGGTCTCCTGGTAGGGTGAAGGGATTCCCTGTTTGCTGGATTATTCTGCCTGAACAGTCTCCTGATAGTGTGAGGGGAATGTTGAGTCTCATCTCTCTGTAGGGTGAGGAGGTTCCTGTCTGTATTATCACCTAATTTTTTTATTCAGTCTTTATATAATATGTGTACATAAATCAAGTAAATATATCATTTATTGAGGCCTTTCAGACACGTTCTCCCTGTTATATATCTGCTCTTCCATTATAATGCTTGTCTATTTGGCAAATTGCCTGATAATTATTTCTTTATCGCTTGTCTACCAGCCCCCCTGCTGGGAACTCAACTACTGGTGTGAAGGGAAACCTCCTGCTGCTGTGAAGGGAAACTCCCCTATGTTTACATGCTCCTGGTACATGCAAGTAGTGTGAAAAGGGTATCATGTTTGTACGGTCTCCTGGTAGAGTGAAGGGATTCCCTGTTTGCTGGACTATTAAATCAAGTAAATATATCATTTGTTGAGACATGTCAACCATGTTCTCCATGTTGTATGTCTGCTCGTCAAGTCCCCTGCTTGTCTGTTGGGATACCTCAAACTGTAGTGAAGGAAAAGCTCCTGCTGGTGTGAAGGGAAACCTCCTGCTGGTGTGAAGGGAAACCTTACGGCTGGTGTGAAGGGAAACCTCCTTCTGGTGTGAAGGGTAACCCCTTGCTGATCTCCTGGTAGAGTGAAGGGCGTTTCTGTTTGCATAATCACCTACTAGGGTGAAGGATTCTTCTGCCTGAACAGGCTCCTGGTAGGGTAAGGGGCTTATCTGTCTGTATAGATTCTTGGGATGTGAACAGGTCTTCTGTCTGTATAATCTCCTTGAAGTATGAAGGGGTCAGTATAATTGCTTGGTAAGATGATGGGGTAACCTGTGTGTATAATTGATAATAGTTTATTTCAGTCTCTATATCCTCAAGTGTGTATAAATCAAGTAAATATATCATTCATTGAGGCATGTCAGCCATGTTCTCCCTGTTGTATGTCTCCTTTTCAAGCCCCCTGCTTGTCTGTTTGGCAAACTGCCTGGTAAATGTATCTTTGTCACTTGTTTGCCAGGTCCCTGCTGGTGTAAAGGGAAACCTCCTGTTTCTGTGAAACCTCCTCCTGGTGTGAAGGGGAACTTTCTGCTGGTGTGAAGGTGAACCTACTCCTGATGTGAAATTCAACATCCTGCTTGAGCCAATGGTAACCTGACTGCTTGGGATCTTTCGTTAAGGGAATCATATTGATTGTATTTATAGATGGTCTCTTAATTATGAAGTAGGATTTCATAGCTGTTTGTTGAAAGCCACTGAGTGAATCTACTGATTGACTGAAAGTGGTTTTCTTAACCTTTTTTGCATGACTAATATTTTATATCATAGGTATCCCCTCGTTGTCTGATGGCTTATGGTTTGATAATTCGAATTGCCTGCCTGCTCTGCTTCCTGGTGCAAGTTCATTCTTCTGATGGTATCCATATTCTTATATGTAATGGAGTGAATGATGATCTTGTGTGCAAATGGACAATAGGGGAGCCACCTACAAGTATATTCTCCTGTTTGTTAGATTCTTCGTTTTGGTGGGTTTCTTGCATGTTTGTAATATTCTGAAGGTGTGGGGGGAAACAAATATGTGTCGATGAGAACTCTGTTTATATGAGGTGGTGAGAGAATCTCCTGTTTGAAGGCTCAAACTTCCGATGTGTCTTTCATCTGTTTGCAAGGTCTTCTGTTGAAGTGTGGGGAGTCTTGTCTCTTTGTAGCCTCCTATTGTTCAGGCGTACATAGACCTTGTTGCCATATACGACACCATGACAAGCTTTATTTTTCTGTCCACCTCAAGTTGTAGGGATAGTCACATGCACACAAATGCATGATCAAAGGGAAATAACTCTATATTATTTAGAGTTTCACATTAGGGTGGTGTGATTATATATTGTAAGATTTATTCTGTCTCCTGAAAACGACTAATTAATTAATCTGAACTATCCCAGTCACCATGCAAACAAAAGTAAGTAATTCACCTTGATTCTAACTGGGAATAATTCAATATAATCTTATTTTTACATTCTTTCTCAATCATACGTGCAGACATTTATCGTTTGATATTCAGCAACTGAACATTATGCTTATCATAATTCAGCTCCTGGTAGTCTTAAGTAGTGTCTCACGTCTCTATAGACTCCTTGTAATCTGCAAGGAGGGTATCCTGTCTCTTTAGTCCCCTTGTAGTCTGAAGTAGGGTCTTATGTCTCTATAGTCCCCTTGTAGTCTGAAGTAGGGTCTTATGTCTCTATAGTCCCCTTGTAGTCTGAAGGAGGGTCTCATGTCTTTATCGTCCCCTGGTAGTCTGAAGGAGGGTCTCATGCGTATAGTCCCCTGGTAGTCTGAAGGGGGGTCTCATATCTCAAACGTCCCCTGGTAGTCCGAAGGAGGGTATCATGTCTCTATAGTCTCTGGTTGTCGGACGGAGAGTCTCAAGTCTCTATAGTACCTCGGATAATCTAAAGTAGGGTCTCGTCTCTCTATATTCTCCGGGTAGTCTAAAGGTTCCATGTCTCTATGGTGTCCTGGTAATCCAAAAGACGGCCTACTGTCTCTATAGTCCCCGGGTTATTTGAAGGAGGACCTCTTTTCTATATAGTCCCCTGGTAGTCTAAATGAGAATCATCTTAAGTTTCAACAATCTCCTGGTAGTCTGACGTAGGGTCTCATGCCCATAGTCTCCTGATAGTCTGACGGAGGGTCTCACGTCTCTGAAGTTTCCTGCTATTGCGAAAGAGGGTCTCATGTTTCTATAGTCCCCTGTGAGTCTGACGGAGGGTATCATGCCTATAGTTCCCTGGTAACCTGAAGGAGTGCCTCATGTCTTTATAGTCACCTGATATTGTGAAAGAGGGCCTTAAGTATTGTGAGGGAGGGTCCCATGTATATATGGTGTCCCGGTAGTTCTGCCGTCTTTGAAGTCGTCTGGTAATCTAAAGAAGGGTCTCATGTCTCTATAGTGTCCTGGAAATCTAAAGAAGAGAAGCATGTCTCAAAAGTGTATTGGTTGTCTGAAATGTTTAACAGTAAATCAGTAAATGTGTTGACTAGAATACCAATGTCAGATACATTGATATTTTAGTCAACAATTTTACTGGTTTACTGTCATCTTTCTTTTGTAAGATAATTTATTTGAAACAAATATTAAATATGTTAGTGGATGGGAGTGCCCAGTTACCTTGTTTGGTTTTATGATGATTTGGCGATAGCAAGGCCATTTGGCTCTTGTGAAACAGTGTTCCCTTTAACCCTTCTGTTTTTATCCCCCGTCGGGCCAGGATCCCTGACACTCTACACACAAGATGTTGACATATTGATGATACGCATATCGCAGTCCCGTTTCATTTCGACAAATTTTTAACAGAGTTACTGCCCCTGTTTTACGAAGTTTCATTTGCCTAATTGTGAGAGATGTACTAAGCTTGTGAAATCAACTCCTCCTCTAGCTTTTAGAGAATATCCCTGACACTCTACACACACGATGTTGACATGTTGATTATACGCATATCTCAGTCCCGTTTCCTTTCGACAAATTTTGACAGAGTTACTGCCCCTGTTTTACGGAGCTTCATTTGCCTAATTGTGAGAGAAGGTACTAAGCTTTTGAAATCAACTCGTTAAAAACATTCATGCGGGGGATGTTGTGCTCTCAGAGCACTCTTGTTCTTTATGTTGTGATTTAACAGTATTTAATCTGATATACACATACACTCACTCACGAATGTCCACAATATTGCTACTGTTCAATGTCTTAAAGAGGCATGCATCCTTTCTTGAATCAAGAATAGTGTTGGAAGCTGGCAGGGGTTCTGTGTTTCCGAAAAGGTATTCAAACAGCTCTTGCGAGTAAATTAGAAACCAGGCAGTCCAAGAAAGGCCCCGAATCGCCCTTTTGTCAACAGTTATAAAAACAAGGAAGACGAGAAAGGCCCCTGTTTTCTTTTATATTTTTAGCCCCTTGAGTTTTCTTCTTTGACGTTATGAAAACATTCTACTAAGTGTTATTATGATCGCAATTCGAGATTTTTACATTCATTTCATAGTCATATTTCGTAGTATTTGAAGACACGAGTTCACGAAATGCATACTGGTTGCAGTATGCAATGAACGTACTCAGAATGCATGAAGAGATGAACGTTGACATTTTCCCTGTTTAGGCCCTCTATAACTGCGAAACCAAACCGTGAGAGTAATCTACCTACAAGT